CACGCACCCCGTGCGCAATCCCCGCGGAGCCCCCGTGTGGGGGCCGGGCCCACGCACCCCGTGCGCAATCCCCGCGGAGCCCCCGTGTGGGGGCCAGGCTCACGCCAGCACACAGAAAGGGCTCTCAGCACATGACTGCACGAATTCACACCAGGTGCCCCCAGCAGCGTCTCAGAGACGAGACCACCCAGGCCCAAACCCCGCGGATAGGGAAACTGAGGCTGGTCTCCGAGGGCCTCCAAGCCCCCTTAAACAAAGCTCACAGCTAACCACGGCGCAGGCCAGCACGGCGCCAGGCCTCACCTTGCACCAGGAGCCGGGCCTGTGAACAGGCCTGGCCAATGTCACAGCTGTAGGTGTCAGCGTCTGCCTTGTCCAGGGCACTGATGGTGAGCTTCAAGGTCAGGCCCTCCTGGCTGGGGGTGTACTTCCTTGAGGCACGCAGGTCCGCGAGGCCCTTGCGCCAGGTCACCGTGGCTGCGGGAAGCTCTGTCTTACACACGAACACGGCCGTGCCCTTCTCCTCTGCCTGCAGATCGGCCAGCTCCTCTGTGAACCGGTTTGCCTTTTCTGGGAAGGGGGTGGGAAGGAGGGGGGTTGAGGGCTGCTCAGACCCCATGCCGGCCCCTCGGGACAGGGACCGGCCCCCACCATGGGCAGCTCCCCTGCCGAGGCCATGGGGACCCATCCCCGGATCTCTTGTGGGGTCACCTTCCACAAGGAGGCTCGCTGTGCTCTTGGAAGCCTCTGTCTCACACGTGTATTCGCCTGAGTCCTTGGGTGAGACCGCACGGACCACCAGCATGGCCCGAGTGCCTTCTGTGACCAGGTCATACTTCTGACTCTCGCGAATGGCCTTCCCAGCCCTCAGCCAGCGCACCGGGGCGCCGGCCCGAGACAGCTCGCAGCTCAGCACCACATCCTCGCCCGCAGCAGCCCGCTGGCCTTCCAGAGGCTTCGTGATATGCGCTGGCCTCTCTGAAGAGAGCAGAGCAGTCCCCCGTGAGCCCCGGCCAGGCCCCAGCCGTGCTCAGGGTGAGGAAAGGGCAGGTGGGCACAGGGCCCTGGGAATCAGGAGTCCCCGTGGTCACGAGGGAGGGGCTGGGGAGAGGAGACACGAGACCACAGACTCTCACACCGCAGCATCGTTCAGAGCCCCAGGACGCAAAGCGTGGCAATTTTGCCAGCTCAGTGAGCCGCGAGCCTGGAAGATCCCACAGTGGTCAGACCACACACCAGAGACCAGAAACCCTGCTTCTGCCCAGAGTCTGGACAGTCTCACCCTACAGAGGGAGCTCCCTCAGATGACTAAACCCCCCAGCACCCCAACAGGTGTCTCTGGGTCTCCAACCGGGGAGCTCTCCAGGGCCCGGCCGAGGGCCCACGCCACCCCCATCCCGCCCTGCCCACGGTGCCCACCTCGGACAATGAGGGAGGCCTTGGAGGTGAGGTCCCGCACGGAGAACACCACCTCCCCAGCGTCACTAGGAGCAGCATCCTGGACAGCCAGGGTGTACTTGCGGCCCTGGCGTGTGGCCCGGAAGCGGCCCGAGCCACCCGCCGTCTTCCCACCCACTGTCCATGTGGCCACATCGCCGGTGTTCTCGTGGGACAGGACACACTCAAAGCTGCAGCTCTGGCCCTCCAGTACCTCCACCGTCTTCAGCCTCTTGGTGATGCCCACGTGCAGGTCTGTGGGCCACAGGAGATGGTGGTCGTACCAGGCCGGGCTCTTGGACACCAGTCTCCCCGCCCCCCACCCCTGAGGCTGGCACTGTCGAGCCCGGAGCTGCCCCAGGCATGGGGGGCCTGCTGCCCCCTCAGCAAATGCCTCCAGCTGGCTGAACCCTGGTGTTCGCATCATGGAGAGCTGTTCCAACCAGTGTGGTCACTTCCTGTCTGCTAGAGAACAAGCCCTGTCCACAGCGGTCACCAGCTCGAATGCTCCAGCCGGGCAAGGATGGGAGCCCCAAATGAAGGGGCCATCCAGCTCTAGAACAAACTCACCACACTGCCCTGCCCCCTTTCCTGTCTCACCTCAAACCCCAACCAGACCAGTAGGAACCCGCACAGGGTGACTGGGCAGCAAGCCTGCCATGCGTGTGCATGCGAAGGAGAACCGGACCAGAGCAGCTGGGCCAGGACAGCAGTGCACACAGGAGGCCAGGCCCAGGCTGAGAGGGACGTCCAAAGGGACCCTGGTATCCCAGGGGTGAGGGGGCCCATGCTGCCCTGATGGCTGGGTGGCCTATGGGGTCCACGGTGTGGTTCCATGTGGCAACCCAACAAGAACGTGGCCTGCCAACAACCACCTTCACCAGGCTTTGCCTGGAGCCTGGGGGTCCCTCCAGGGCACCCTATGCCCGACATCTGGGCCTCTGCCACCGGCCACCCCCAAGCGGTGACCCTGACTGTACCCCTCTGTGGCCCCCGCAACTGCTCACACACAGCCCCTGGCACAGGGGGACTGTCTCCAGCCTCTGTTGAATCCCTGGCCCCCTGAGACTCCATCAAGCATGGCCAGTTCAGTGTCTCCAGTCCTACCATTGCTTACCGTCCCTCACCCCTCTGCCTGCACCTGGGCCTCCCAGGATCCCATCAAGCCCCCTCGTCCAGGAGCCAGCCCTGACCTCAAGAGCTCTGCAGGGCAGCCTCCGGCCTTGGAGAAGGACTGGGCCCCGAGCAGGGGCAGCCCCCGAAACCTGAAAGCAGCCCCGCGCCCTGAAACCGGTTCCGCCCCTGGAGGCGCCCCCGCGCCCTGGACCCAGACCCGCCCCCAGGCCCGCCCCCAGAAGCCGGTTCCGCCCCTGCATCCGCCCCCGCCCTCTGGAC